AATAAAAATATTCCCCATGTTTTCCCATATTTTCTGGTCTTTGTCTTCCCGCCCAATTCCCATATCTTCCATATTTCCTGGGGGATCGACGATGAATTGTGTCTGTGTGTTCTTCCCCTCCTGACCATTACCAGCCTCGGAAGGTATCACAGACGCTTCGAGACTGCTACCGAATGCTCCGCAAGGGCCCCAGGACCTCGCCACGCCCAGACACTGCCCAGGACGGCCAAACACACTTGAACAATTGAATTTCTCAGTGTCTTTTCACCTGCGACCCAGAAGGGCTCAAGATGGCCTCTGGTTGGCCTCCGGACGGGGGCTGGCCTGGACAGCGCGCACTAGCGGTCCAGAAGGCCCCCCGAAGGCCCCAAGTCGGTCTCAAGACAGCCAAATACTAGTCCAAGACGCCTTCAAGACGGTCTAGTAACAGCCCCAGGACCGCTCCAAGGTGTCCCCAAGAACCCTCCAAGACGGCCCCAATAGAATAGGGTGACAAGACTCCCCGAATGGCCTCAAATGCACACTCATTGCCTCCAAATCCCCAACAAGGCCACCAAGAGGCCGAACATAACGCCCAATAGACATCGCGACATCTATGCAACGCCGCGGCCATTCCACGCTACAACGTTTCTTTGCAGCTTCCCGAAGAGCGGTTACGGGCGACAGCGCACTGTATATTGCGGCCCAAAGTGTAATCTGGCTTTTCTTTATGTCTTCCTTGGACAGGCCGTAGCCCGTTTTCTTCGCATGTTCAATCAACGATTCTGTCATGAATGATTTCAACTGCTTGTACTCATCCGAGCGGTAAAGCTCGGGCCAATTCCGTGCCTGAGCAGAAAAGAAAGCATCATTGATGTCGTTCGGATCTGTCTGACCCTTCTTCTTGCGATCCGTGGAGAAAGCCCGATACTTCTTGATGGCCAGGTCAGCCAGCTTCTCGCAGAAGCCTTTGCCAAAGTGTTTCACTACATTCACTGATGTGATGAGGGTGGGGAACAGCGGTCTCACTTCCATAGACGCCAGCGCGGCTTTGATCTGGCCGCTCGGAGCCTTCTCCGTTTGTACGTCTTCGGCCATCGGTGGCATGCTGGCGCCCTCTGCGCAGACCTCAGAGCTCTGACGCCCCGTGATCACTGGCAGGAAATGTTCCACCGCTGCGGTCGGCACGCCATCCTTCTTCCACTTCGAGACCGTTTTGCCGATGCTCTGCCGAACCTTCGTGAGGGCATCGTGCTCGTCCTTGGGCTTCTTCCTCGCCCACGCAAGGATCGTGTCGACACTGGCCCCGTCCATCTCGCAGGCCTTCGCCAGCATGTCCACCGCCTTTTCCATCACCTGATTCCTGTCTTCAGATAGGGATGCGATCATCGCCGTGGCCTGCCCTGCCCTCGCCCAGATTGACGCGTTGTCCGGCGCCAGGTCCAGCGCTCCGAGGACCTGGTGCTGCGCGTCGTACAGGGCGATGAACGGGTCGTCGTTGCTCTTGTCGAGCTTCATCTGCTGTCGCAGGGCCTTCTGGTACATGCGCCTGGCCTTCGCTATGTAATAGGGGGCGCGCCTGGCATTCTCTTGGCTCAGCCAGGTGACGGCCTCCCTGCTCCGGAAGGCAGCCCTGGCGATGCCAGCGGTGTTGCAGGTCGCGTCTTCACCGGCCTGCGCCCACGCAGCTACGAAGGACAGGGCGACCGCCGCTCTGGCCGAGAGGGTCGCTCGGGGCGCCATGTCTGCAACGCCGACTGCAGGCCAAAAAATGGCAACAGACCGCGACGGTGACGGCGACGATGCCAAAAGCTCGTGGAGGAGTCGGCAACGCAAATGACTGTCTGGGACCTCAACACCATTCAGAAGCACCCAAGCGGCTCCCACGAGGCTTCCAATCCAGGAGGTCCCCAGGTGGCCCCAGGGGCTCTCCAGGAGGCCGCTGCCTGCTCATGATTGTTTCCTGGCCTCTTCCTCTCACGCTTCTTCCCCATGACGGCTCCATGACATGCCAAAATGCTGAATTTGCATGCCAGTTTCCAGAAGGGGGGTCTACGCGCATCCCACTGCCCAGGGTGAACCCAAATTCGGTTTGACTGGCGCCACCTCTCTTTGCCTTCGCAACGCTCCCCCACCGACCTTCTCGAGAGAACTTGTATGGGGGTAGCGCTTGGATCGGCTGGTTGGGGCACGGGAAATGTCAAGATCTGTAAGCATCCCTGGATCATTTTCATTATGGTTTCCCTCGTACTAGTGTCGTTGGCAAAACCCTGCGCTGTTCTTGGGAACCGCTAAAACAAAGCACAAACAAAATACCCGATACTACACGAAACGAACATGGAACAGCACGGCACCGTGTGCTGGAATAGCGGGCTGCGGCGCTTTGCATCAAGCCCCGCATGTCCCGAACAACCAAATCGGTCGACCCAGCATGACATTACAGAGCCTCGTCCCGACGGCTGGCGATCCGTCAACGCGTCACCGCGAACCCACTGAAGTCAAGCCTGCGTGCCCTTGCTCCGCCAGGAACCCACCGGATAAGACTGCGCACGCGCGCAGGCATAGCAAAGCCAGGCTAACCACCCTCTGTGCCTTACCAGAGCACGGCTGGCACCAAAGAGTGAAATGGAAGACAGCTGGGCAAATCAAGAGCTCCACACGAATTCACCTGCCAAAGGCGGCCTCATCTTCATGCCGTATGCAAGTGCCGCTGGATCAACAATGATAAGCAATGTCATCGTGATTGCAATGCTCGTTTACATCATCATTGCCACCTCACTTTGGAGATAATGGCGGCAAAATGAATTATTATCGTCGTCGTCGTCCCTGGCTTGGACACCTCCTGAGTCCCACTGGGCGCGACGAAGTCCTGGACAAGCTTGGAAGTCATTGACACGCTCGTGACAACATGGGAAGCCGTGATGCAGCAACAGCAGCCTTCCACTTACCGTCCGCAGGTGCATGTCTTCCCCGTGGTGAACTCGCCTCGTCCCGGCTGGCTCCGCCACTGACGTGGTGCACCCTTTGCTCCCGCCGATTCCCGCCGGCGAAGCGGCCTCCGCTTCCCTTCCGCGACCCTGCCGCTGCCTTCTGGCGAGGAGGACGAGAGGTCATCGTCTCGATCCCTCGACCCGATGCACACGGGGGCGGAGGGGGGGCGCAGGCCCGCGCCTCGACGCCCAGGGTGAGGGGAACGCTGCCGATCACCCGCGCGGACGCCGCGGGGAGGAGCTCGCTCTCGGGCTGCTCAGGGGGCCTCCCTTCCCAGAGGGCGCCTCCTCTTCCCCCCTTCCTCCTCCTCCTCCTCCTCCTCCTCCTCCTCCTCCTCCTCCTCCTCCTCCTCCTCCTCCTCCCTCCTCCTCCTCCGATATCCCTCCTCCCCCTCCCTCCACCCCCTCCGCCCTCCTCCTCCTCCTCCTCCTCCTCCTCCTCCTCCTCCTCCTCCGCGTCCTGTGTCCTCCCTGCTTCTGCCCCCGTGTTCTCCTCATCCTCCTCCTCCGCACCCCCCTCGTCCTCATATTCACCATCATCACCAACATCATCATCGTCATCGTCATCATCATCATCACCATCAGCATCATCATCACCATCACAACCATCACCAAAATCATCATCGCCATCATCATCATTGTTACCCCCCGTTTCCTTTACTCGCCCACCTCCCCTTCCTCATCCACCTCCCCCTCCCCCTGCCCCTCCGCTGTGTTGACGCTGCACGGACTGATCGGACAATCGCAGCGTCTATGTGGCAATGACGGCACATTACCCGAGACGTACCCACGCCCTTCTGCACGTGAGGCGACTATTTATGTGAACGCTTTATACGCGAGAAACGCAGCACCTGGGAATGCGACGCGAAACATATCGGACCACGAACGTCGCACACCTGCGCAACACAGAACGGGGGACAGAAGTGGTGGAGGCGGAAGAGGAAGAAGGAGGAAGGACAAGGAGGATGGATCACGAAGCAAAGACATACTGGTACTGGTGAAAAGAACAACGCCAATCGCTACGTGTGCTCGGTTCGCCAATGCTGCCGCAGCGGGCGACACAGACACCTGATGAGGGGAGGTGAATGGGCCACTGAGGGCAGCGCAGTGCGACACGTGACGCTCCAGCGCCCTGCGCTCTGTGATGCAACAGCGCCGACCCCTGCATGACGAGGCAGCGCCACGCGCCATGTGGGCGCGTTCCCTCGCGTAGTCGACTGGTAATCGCCCGCTGCAAACATCGCCAACGGCGCCGCCGACGTTGCAACCAATGCGCACGCTCGCCCAGGACCCCCTTACGGCTCTCCTCTCTCTCCAGTCACGCCAGAAGTTGGCAAGGCCGAGCGCGTGCGCCATCTTCATGGACTGCTTCTTACAATTCTACTGGACCTCCCAGGAACCAGCGAAAAAGGCGACAACTGCGCAGGTCGCAGCCACCCAGGGAGCCGCCGCGATGTCGCGGCTGGGTGTGCGTACAGATCAACTCCGCTGGACTTCGGGGGGGCACGCGAACATTACGATATTTCTTCGACTCGCTGCCACCCAGAGAGCCGAGAGGTGCCGTCTGGGTGCGCGTACAACTCCACTTCGCTAGCCATCCCAAAAGCCCACGAACAACGGGGCGACAATTGCGCAGTTCGCGGCCACACAAGGAGCCGCGAGGTCCCGTCTGGTTGAGCGTACAACTCCACTCCGCTGGACCTCCCAGGAGCCCACGAAAGCGGCAACCACCCAAGGAAGCGCGAGGTCTCGGCTGGATGAGCGTGTAACTCCACTCCGCTGGGCCTCCCAGGAGCCCACGAGAGGGGTGACGATTACGCAGTTCGCAGCCACCCAGGGAGCCGCGAGGACCCGTGTGGGTGCGCGTATAACCCCACTCCGCTGGACCTCCCATGAGCCCATGAAAGAGGCGCCAATTGCGCAATTCGCAGTCACCCAGATAGCCGCGAGGACTCGTCTGGGTGCGCGTGTAACTCCACTCCGCTGGAGCTCCCAAAAGCCCACGAAAGTGGCGACCGTTGCGCAGCTCGCAGCCACCCAGCCCGCCGCGAGGTCCCGTCTGGCTCCGCATACAATTCCACTCCGCAGGACCTCCTAGGAGCCAACGAAAGTGGCGACACTTGAGCAGTTCGCAACCTCCCAAGGAGCTGCGAGGTCCCGGCTGGATGAATGTGTAACTCCACTCCGCTGGACCTCCCGGGAACAAAAACGACCGTTGCGCAGCTCGCAGCCACCCAGGGAGCCGTGACATCTCGTCTGGATGCGCGTTTAGTTCCACTCCGCTGGACCTCCCAGGAACCCACCAAAAAGGCGACACTTGCGCAGTTGGCAGCCCGCGATAGGGGGCGAAGAGGAGGAGGAGGAGGAGGAGGAGGAGGAGGATGAGAAAGATCAGGAGGGGGAGGAAGAGGAGGTCATTGGGGACCACAGTGCTCTATTCAAAACGAGAACCCAACACAGGAGGGTTGGGAAGAAAGAAGCGACAGACCTAGAAGATATTGCCTCAGCGCGGCTGCCGGCAACTGTAGGATAAAACAGTTGCATGAGGACTGGGAGGAGCAGATGGGCCCGCTAGGGATTAGAGTTACTAAACTGGCAGCCTGAGCGGAAGGAGGAGATGGAGGAACAACCAACAAGATATGACGGCAAAGAGAGGGAGGGCACCGGAAGAGGGAAGGTTCTGAGGGAGGGCCCAGTGTGCGGGCGGCAGTTGGTGTGGAGGCTACTCCTCGTCCCCCCCCCTCCTCCTCCTCCTCCTCCTCCTCCTCCTCCTCCTCCTCTCCTCCTCCTCCTCCTCCTCCTCCTCCTCCTCCTCCTCCTCTCCTCGCTCCTCCTCGCTCCTCCTCCTCCCCTCCTCCTCCTCCTCCTCCTCCTCCTCCTCCTCCTCCTCCTCCAGGGCGCGTGGGAGGGGCGACATGGCACAACCCAGACACCAGTGGAATGCTCTTCCCTAATGGCGTTTCGCTTTCGGGTTCTCCTAGCGCTACAATGTAGTATCCAGAACATCTGCAGGGGGGGTGTCAGCAGGATCCTGCATGGGTGCCATCAGATGCTTTCTATTGGGCAGGATGCCTTTTGGGCGTTTGTGATGGGTTTGCACAGGAGTCCCGAGAAGGAGCCTCGCATCTGAGTTAAGTGTGAGAATGTCTCGAGTGCGAGGAAGCCTCGAGCGGGAACCGCAGTGTCAATCGATGTGTGAGGAAATCTTGAGCGGGGCCTCTCTTGCGTGGAACCAATCGCAAGACCCTCTCAGGACCCTCACAGGACCATCCATCAGGAGCCTTATCCTTATTTGTTACCCTTTTTGTTTCTCCTGAGTCCACCGCCCCCATCATGGGAAGAACGAGGACACAGGAGAGGAGGAGGAGGAAGAGGAGGAGAAGCAGAGTAAACCCACGAGTCATGAAGCTGGAGTACACCCTCAAGTCCCCTCTTCATCAGTCCATACAAGTCGTCCTTTCCATGGCGGGATCCGCCCCCCTTGAGAGCGACGCCGCGCTGACATTGCTGAGCTCGAGCGACAAATCATGATACCTTTCAAACGCATGTTCGTGAATGCTTACCGAAGTGGGATACGTCTGGAAGCTGGTGGAACTCCAATCGTACAATGGCCATGTATATCACGGCCACCATCATTAGGTAAGAACGCATCCATGCTTTAAGCCTCCTGGAACATTATGTAACAAACGCCCCAAACCGTAACTCATGAGACATCGATAGATCGAACCTCCGGAAGACTTTGACAGGCATACGCGTTGACGTTATTCGATGTTGTATCCACGCCCGTCTGAGCTGAAACTCTGTATGGGTGGTTCAGCGCCTCTTCGTATCGACTTGGAACTCCGACGGCAACGCTGTAAATCACACGTCGCACTAGCCATTAATAGTCAGGGCACGTGTGGCAGCGTGTACGGTATGCTGCCACCTTGGTTGCGTTCTTGTCCAGGGGGCCGGCAGGTTCCAGGGCCAGGGCAAAATTGGAAGTTTCACCAGCACCAGACTGCGCGCATCCAGTGGAGCCCAACAGAAGAGCCACACACAAAGACGAAGACACCCCGAACGCCTTCTGAACCTCCGCCTCCTCCTCCTGATCCTCCTCCTGCTCCTCCTCCTCCTCCTCCTCCTCCTCCTCCTCCTCCTCCTCCTCCAACAGTGCTCATTCTTCCGACGTGCGGACTGCATGCCGCGCAGAGGAGCGGCGCCCCATTGGCCGCCCCCTCCCGGGCAGCTCCGGGGGCTCGGGCAGGCTGGGCTCGACGTCGGGCATCTCCCAGGAGTGCATGCTGCAAGCCTCCTGAGACGTCTCCATATTGTCGTCGTCCTGCTTGGCGGGTGCCCTCGTCGTTCCACTCGTCCTCGTTCGTCGCCGTCGGAGTCGTCGCAGCAATCGACGTCGTCGCCGTCTTTACAGTCGTCATCTTACCTCCACTCCTTCTCTCCCTTCATCCCCCCAGTCTTCTCCATCCGTCCCTCCCGCACTCCACTTATCCCTTCCGCTGTATGGGGCAGGTGTTGCGTCCTCATTCGTTGCGGTTGCTCGAACTTTGAATTTCTTGACGACCAGAACTGTACAATGTAGTAGAACCCTGCTGCACCTACGTTTCCTCATCTACATCATCCTCCTCCTCTTCCTCCTCCTCCTTTTCCGCCTCCTCCTTCTCCCCCTCCCTCCTGCACGTGCTCTCCCTAGCTCCTCCATTGTCCTCCTCATCCTCCACCTCGGTATCTCCTGCTTCCCCACCCCGACCCCCCACCCCACCCCACCCCATGGCCACGGCAGAGCAATCCTGCGAATTCCTGCGCGAGCCCTGGTGTTCGAGGCGGTCGCGGCACGCCGGGGAAGATACAGCGGCCTCCACCGCGTCTCGCACGGACCTGAAGGGAGCGTTTGTCCTCCTCATCCTCATCCTTCTCCTCCTCCTCCACCTCCTGCTCCATCTCCGCGTCCCCCTACTCCTCCCCCTCCCCTCCACCTCCCCCTTCTCACTCCTCCTCCTCCTCCTCCTCCTCCTCCTCCTCCTCCTCCTCCTCCTCGTCTTCCTCCTCCACCTCCTCCTCCTCCTCTTCCTCTTCCTCCTGGTCCTCCTCCTCATCCTCATCCTCATCCCTATCCTCATCCTCGTCCTCATCCACTTCCTCCTCCTCCTACTCCTCCTTATCGTCATGCGTATCCTCATCCTTATCAACCTCTTCCTCCTCCTCCTCCTCCTCCTCCTCCTCCTGTATCTCCTGCTCCACCTCCCCGTTTCCCTCCTCCTCTCCCTTCCCCTCCACCACCCCCCCTCACTTCTCCTCATCGTCTTCCTCCCCCACCTCCTCGTCCTCCTCCTCCTTTTCCTCCTCTTCCTTTTCCTCCTCCTCCTGTTCCTCCTCCTGCTCCTCGTCCTCCTTCACCACCATTGGTCGTCATTGGACGCATGTGGATGTTTCCTTGCGGAATGCAACACCAACATTCGTATGCTCGAGCTCGTTTCCTTTTTCCTCCTCCTCCTCCCCCTTTTGGCTTGTCCTTCTCCATCTTCTCATCACGTCCTCGTCACCACCATTGCTCATCGGTGCCAACACAATCGCTATCATTCCTCGGCCTCAACATCCCCGTCTCCCATATATCCTGGAACCTCCTTCGCCCTCCTCTTCCTCCACCTCCTCCTCCTCTTCGTCTTGCTTAATCGTAGTTTCCTTCTCACTTTGGTGGGAAGTATGAGTGCCAGTAGTGTTGCTCTTCTTGTGTGGGTATTAATGTTACCCACCACTTCTCCGTTTGTCCAAACAAATCATGCGTCGTTATTTCCCAGCCCTCCTGCGTTGGGCTCTCGTTTTGAATAGAGCACTGCTCGCGCGTCTCCTTGCCTCCTTCCCCCCCCCCCACTCTTCCCCCTTGCCTTTTGCCTCGCTCGTCGCTGGGTCCCTGGGGGGCTGCGATCTGCGAAACTGTCGCCACTTTCGAGGCCTGCTGGGGGGGGGCCAACACAGTGGGTACTCACCGCGGATTCAAATTAGACCTCGCCATCCCTGGGGGGCTGCGATCTGCGAAACTGTCGCCACTTTCGAGGCCTGCTGGGGGGCCCAGCACAGTGGGTACTCACCGCGGATTCAAATTAGACCTCGCCATCCCTGGGGGGCTGCGATCTGCGAAACTGCCACTTTCGAGGCCTGCTGGGGGGCCCAGCACAGTGGGCACTCACCGCGGATTCAAATTAGACCTCGCCATCCCTGGGGGGCTGCTGTGAAACGATCTGCGAAACTGTCGCCACGTTCGAGGCCTGCTGGGGGGCCCAGCGCAGTGGGTACTCACCGTGGATTCAAATTAGACCTCGCCATCCCTGGGGGGCTGCGATCTGTGAAACTGTCGCCACTTTCGAGGCATGCTGGGGGTCCCAGCGCAGTGACGCCACACGCAGATTCAAGTTAGACGTCGCCATCCCTGGGGGGCTGCGATCTGTCAAACTATCGCCACTTTCGGGGGCTGCTGGGGGGCCCAGCACAGTGGGTACCCACCGCAGACTCAAATTAGACGCCGCTTTCGTCCTTGTTCTCCTCCTGCAGTCACCTTCCCTCTGCTGCTGCCGTGCTGATGGTTCGGCTTCCCGCACGTTTTTCTCCTGCTCTGCGTTCCCGACTCCCCATGTCCTCTTCGAGCCTGTAGCTGTCGCCCCTCGTTCTTGTATGGTTCTCCTGCGCATCATGCCATAGGCGCGTGTCCCAAGTAGCTTACACATCAAGTTGATTGTCCATGCAAGTTTCGGCCAACTCCTCGTTTCCATTGATGCAAATGGGTTGGGTACGTCACAGGGTAAGCTTGTTTTACGTGATGCGTATTTCTCTGTTGTATAATGGTGTGTTGTATTGTGCTGGTTGAACGTTATCTTGTGCTCTCCACCCTTTAACTATGTGTGTATATACGTATGTGTATCCCTATCTTTCATTATCCTCCCCCTCTGGGGTTCGCCCAGGAGGTAAGAGCAGGGGGAGGATTAATAGTGCATAGTCAGGATGCTGCGTAGTGTGGGTATGCATCTGTGTGTGCGTGCGTGCGGTTGCGTGTGTGGGTGCATGTGCAAGTTGCGCGCGCGTGGTGCAAGGCGTGGGACATTGCAGCAGCAGGCTGAACGTTCTCAGCTACACGCTGTGGAAGCTACAAGCTGCGAGTGCCCAACAAACAGCCACATGCTGGATGTTGCAGGCGCAGGCTGCACGATTTCAGCTGCGCGCTGCAACGGTGGCAGCTACACGCTGCGCGTGCCCAGGATCAGCTACAAGCCAGAAGTCGCAGCTACAATCTGCGCGTCGTCAGCTACACGATGAATTGAATGCAGCGCCCTTGCAGACAGTTACACGGTGGCCATTGCAACTGGACGCTGCGCATTTTCGGCTACGCGCTGAAATCCGTGACTGCTACAAGCTGCGCGTGCCCAACAATCAGCTACATGCTGAAGATTGTAGCTACGCGCTGCGAGTTTTCAGCTACACGCTGAAACGGCGGCAGCTACGCGCTGCCCGAGTCCAGCGCGTCGTCGCGCGCGTGGGCCTGCATGGCGATGTTTTTGTGCATTGCGCGAGTCAATGTATATTTACACGCGTTTGTTCAGTAGCTCCAGGTCCAATGATCGCCGCGCGTGTCTCCGCGGAATTTTCTTCAGATAAGCGCGATCACCATGTCCTCGCCGCGGCGCGTTTTGGCTTCGAATCGCCGTGCCCGCAGGGGGCCTGGCGTTGGCGCAGACAACGGGCTTATCAGTCCTCGTGCCACGGCCGTTCTCGACGGCGCTTCGGGGGTGGCGCCGAGGTTCCACCAGGAGGCCCTCTCCGAAGACATGGGCGCAACGGTCGATTTCCACCTCGGCGCCCGCCGATGCGGCGACAGTCGTGCACAACTTTGACAAGCAAGTTCGTAACTCCTTGGACTTGCCTCGCGCCCCCGTGTCAAACGCGGGTAAGTGGCAAAGGGGGCTGAATGGGCAGCGCGCGCAGCTCGGCGCGCTTCTTGAACGACGGGAAACTCACGCGGTCAAGCGTCGGGGACTCCCGCGCCAACGCCCTTCGCTCGCTGCCGGCCGCGGGCGGGCGCAAGGTCTTAGTCCGCGCGTGCAAACGCAGGCTGGACACAAAACATCTAATACCCTGGGCCCATGCTTGTGCGCCACATTCTTCGCGTTCGCGATTAAAAACTACGCGCGCGAGGTCGTGCTGAAAGCGCCGCGCAAGGGCCGCCCGCTCGAGCGCAGCCAGAGGTTCTGCCCCAGCCAGATCACCTGCCACGGCAGAGCGGAACTCGCGAGAACCGACGCCGTGGTCATGCGATGAGCATGGCCGAATACGGACTCGCCCCCGTGGAGAGACACGACGTCGCCCTCGTCGTCTCCGACGGCGCGCAAGACAACCCCGGGCTTACCGCGATTGAACAAACGGTTCTGAACATCTGGACCAATCATGGAAGCCCCGAGGAGGTCGCAGAAGGGCTGGTTGCTCTCGCCATGCGCGATGAGGTCCCAGGGCCCGATGACACCGCGTGCGCGGCGGCGTAGACCCCAGCGAGAAACGCAAATACAAGTGGGCCTAGAGGCGCTGCCTCGCCGAGGCGACCGGCCCAGCGACGCGCGAAGAAGAATCGCGTCTGGAGCGGCTCCAATGACATCTGAGTGCCAGCAAAGGCTGCTTAGCGCACTGAATTCCACTGTCAATTCTGCCACGCGCCGAAGCACGTGTCCGACGGGCGCCTCGCGGAGCAAAAAAAAAAAACATGCACCCCCCAGGGGGGGATTCTTATTGGGAGACCACTAGAAATGCCCGCAGAGGCGCCAGCAGGCGGAAATATCACAATACGATATTACTGGTTCTACTTATTTCTTTTTCCCCCACATCCTGAGTGGGGTTCTTGTTTTCCCAGAACATCCTATCCTTCTCCCTCCCGCCTCCCGCCTCCCATATCAATACCATGCCTACCATTCCAACCTCCCATGTCATACCATGCCTACCATTCCATACCACACCATACCTACCATACCATACCATACCATACCCTCCAGGGAGGCCCCGCCAGAGCGCGGAGGGTATCGGAAACCCATAGTATTTACCTGGTTTCGTGCCCTTCCCACCTCTCCAAGGAGGCCCCGCCTGAGCGTAGAGGGTATCGGAAACCCATGCTACTTACATGGTTTCGTGCCCCTCCCACCCCTCCAGGGAGGCCCCGCCTGAGCGAGGAGGGTATCGGAAACCCATTTGACATGGTTGCGTGCCCCTCCCACCCCTCCAGGGAGGCCCCGCCTGAGCGAGGAGGGTATCGGAAACCAATACTATTGACATGGTTTCGTGCCCCTCCCCTCCAGGGAGGCCCCGCCTGAGCGAGGAGGGTATCGGAAACCAATACTATTTACATGGTTTCGTGCCCCTTCCACCCCTCCAGGGAGGCCCCGCCTGAGCGAGGAGAGTATCGGGAACCAATATGTTTACATGGTTTCGTGCTCCTCCCACCCCTCCAGGGAGGCCCCGCTTGAGCGAGGAGGGTATCGGAAACCCATACTATTGACATGGTTTCGTGCCCCTCCCATCCCTCCAGGGAGGCCCCGCCTGAGCGAGGAGGGTATCGGAAACCAATACTATTTACATGGTTTCGTGCCCTTCCCACCTCTCCAGGAAGGCCCCGCCTGAGCGAGGGGGGTATCGGAAACCCATACTATTTACATGGTTTCGTGCTCCTCCCACCCCTCCAGGGAGGCCCCGCCTGAGCGAGGAGGGTGTCGGAAACCCATGCTATTTACATGGTTTCGTGCCCCTCCCCCCTTCCAGCGGGGCCCCGCCAGAGCGAGGAGGGTATCAAGAAACCGTACTATTTACAAGGTTTCGTTTCCTGAGCACCTGTCCTCCCTCCTCCTTTC